GGGTGCATGGGTGCATGGGTGCAGGGGTGCATGGGTGCAGGGGTGCAGGGGTGCAGGGGTGCATGGGTGCAGGGGTGCAGGGGTGCAGGGGTGCAGGGGTGCAGGGTGCAGGGGTGCAGGGGTGCAGGGGTGCATGGGTGCAGGGGTGCAGGGGTGCAGGGGTGCAGGGGTGCAGGGGTGCATGGGTGCAGGGGTGCAGGGGTGCAGGGGTGCAGGGGTGCATGGGTGCAGGGGTGCATGGGTGCAGGGGTGCAGGGGTGCAGGGGTGCATGGGTGCAGGGGTGCATGGGTGCAGGGGTGCAGGGGTGCAGGGGTGCAGGGGTGCATGGGTGCAGGGGTGCATGGGTGCAGGGGTGCAGGGGTGCAGGGGTGCATGGGTGCAGGGGTGCAGGGGTGCAGGGGTGCAGGGGTGCATGGGTGCAGGGGTGCAGGGGTGCAGGGGTGCAGGGGTGCAGGGGTGCATGGGTGCAGGGGTGCAGGGGTGCAGGGGTGCAGGGGTGCATGGGTGCAGGGGTGCAGGGGTGCAGGGGTGCAGGGGTGCAGGGGTGCAGGGGTGCATGGGTGCAGGGGTGCAGGGGTGCAGGGGTGCAGGGGTGCAGGGGTGCATGGGTGCAGGGGTGCATGGGTGCAGGGGTGCAGGGGTGCAGGGGTGCATGGGTGCAGGGGTGCAGGGGTGCATGGGTGCAGGGGTGCAGGGGTGCAGGGGTGCAGGGGTGCAGGGGTGCAGGGGTGCAGGGGTGCATGGGTGCAGGGGTGCAGGGGTGCAGGGGTGCAGGGGTGGGTGCAGGGGTGCAGGGGTGCAGGGGTGCATGGGTGCAGGGGTGCAGGGGTGCAGGGGTGCAGGGGTGCAGGGGTGCAGGGGTGCATGGGTGCAGGGGTGCATGGGTGCAGGGGTGCAGGGGTGCAGGGGTGCATGGGTGCAGGGGTGCAGGGGTGCAGGGGTGCATGGGTGCAGGGGTGCATGGGTGCAGGGGTGCAGGGGTGCAGGGGTGCAGGGGTGCATGGGTGCAGGGGTGCATGGGTGCAGGGGTGCAGGGGTGCAGGGGTGCATGGGTGCAGGGGTGCATGGGTGCAGGGGTGCATGGGTGCATGGGTGCAGGGGTGCAGGGGTGCAGGGGTGCAGGGGTGCATGGGTGCAGGGGTGCAGGGGTGCAGGGGTGCATGGGTGCAGGGGTGCAGGGGTGCAGGGGTGCAGGGGTGCATGGGTGCAGGGGTGCATGGGTGCAGGGGTGCAGGGGTGCAGGGGTGCATGGGTGCAGGGGTGCATGGGTGCAGGGGTGCAGGGGTGCAGGGGTGCAGGGGTGCAGGGGTGCAGGGGTGCAGGGGTGCATGGGTGCAGGGGTGCAGGGGTGCAGGGGTGCATGGGTGCAGGGGTGCATGGGTGCAGGGGTGCATGGGTGCATGGGTGCAGGGGTGCATGGGTGCAGGGGTGCAGGGGTGCAGGGGTGCATGGGTGCAGGGGTGCAGGGGTGCAGGGGTGCAGGGGTGCATGGGTGCAGGGGTGCAGGGGTGCAGGGGTGCAGGGGTGCAGGGGTGCATGGGTGCAGGGGTGCAGGGGTGCAGGGGTGCAGGGGTGCATGGGTGCAGGGGTGCATGGGTGCAGGGGTGCAGGGGTGCAGGGGTGCATGGGTGCAGGGGTGCATGGGTGCAGGGGTGCAGGGGTGCAGGGGTGCAGGGGTGCATGGGTGCAGGGGTGCATGGGTGCAGGGGTGCAGGGGTGCAGGGGTGCATGGGTGCAGGGGTGCAGGGGTGCATGGGTGCAGGGGTGCAGGGGTGCATGGGTGCAGGGGTGCAGGGGTGCATGGGTGCAGGGGTGCAGGGGTGCAGGGGTGCAGGGGTGCAGGGGTGCAGGGGTGCAGGGGTGCATGGGTGCAGGGGTGCAGGGGTGCAGGGGTGCAGGGGTGCAGGGGTGCAGGGGTGCATGGGTGCAGGGGTGCAGGGGTGCAGGGGTGCAGGGGTGCATGGGTGCAGGGGTGCATGGGTGCAGGGGTGCAGGGGTGCAGGGGTGCAGGGGTGCAGGGGTGCAGGGGTGCAGGGGTGCAGGGGTGCAGGGGTGCAGGGGTGCATGGGTGCATGGGTGCAGGGGTGCATGGGTGCAGGGGTGCATGGGTGCATGGGTGCAGGGGTGCATGGGTGCAGGGGTGCAGGGGTGCAGGGGTGCATGGGTGCAGGGGTGCAGGGGTGCATGGGTGCAGGGGTGCATGGGTGCAGGGGTGCAGGGGTGCATGGGTGCAGGGGTGCAGGGGTGCAGGGGTGCATGGGTGCAGGGGTGCAGGGGTGCAGGGGTGCATGGGTGCAGGGGTGCAGGGGTGCATGGGTGCAGGGGTGCAGGGGTGCATGGGTGCAGGGGTGCAGGGGTGCATGGGTGCAGGGGTGCAGGGGTGCAGGGGTGCAGGGGTGCAGGGGTGCAGGGTGCAGGGGTGCATGGGTGCAGGGGTGCATGGGTGCAGGGGTGCAGGGGTGCAGGGGTGCATGGGTGCAGGGGTGCAGGGGTGCAGGGGTGCATGGGTGCAGGGGTGCAGGGGTGCATGGGTGCATGGGTGCAGGGGTGCATGGGTGCAGGGGTGCATGGGTGCATGGGTGCAGGGGTGCATGGGTGCATGGGTGCATGGGTGCATGGGTGCAGGGGTGCATGGGTGCAGGGGTGCATGGGTGCATGGGTGCAGGGGTGCATGGGTGCAGGGGTGCATGGGTGCAGGGGTGCATGGGTGCAGGGGTGCATGGGTGCAGGGGTGCATGGGTGCAGGGGTGCATGGGTGCAGGGGTGCAGGGGTGCATGGGTGCAGGGGTGCATGGGTGCAGGGGTGCATGGGTGCAGGGGTGCATGGGTGCAGGGGTGCATGGGTGCAGGGGTGCATGGGTGCAGGGGTGCATGGGTGCAGGGGTGCATGGGTGCAGGGGTGCATGGGTGCAGGGGTGCATGGGTGCAGGGGTGCATGGGTGCAGGGGTGCATGGGTGCAGGGGTGCATGGGTGCAGGGGTGCAGGGGTGCAGGGGTGCATGGGTGCAGGGGTGCATGGGTGCAGGGGTGCATGGGTGCAGGGGTGCATGGGTGCAGGGGTGCATGGGTGCAGGGGTGCATGGGTGCAGGGGTGCATGGGTGCAGGGGTGCATGGGTGCAGGGGTGCATGGGTGCAGGGGTGCATGTGTGCACGGGTGCATGGGTGCAGGGGTGCATGGGTGCAGGAGTGCATGGGTCGTAGAGCTCGTACATGGTGTTGAAGTCGGGGACTTCGGAGATGTCGACCAGATAAACCACTGCAAAGTTCTTTATGGTCTCTGCCACTCCTGCCAGCACCTCGTCCATCTGATGGGAAAGCGGGGGTGAAGGGTGGAGCAGAGGGAGAGGAGGAGGCAATGGGTGCATGGGTCGTAGAGCTCGTACATGGTGTTGAAGTCGGGGACTTCGGAGATGTCGACCAGATAAACCACTGCAAAGTTCTTTATGGTCTCTGCCACTCCTGCCAGCACCTCGTCCATCTGATGGGAAAGCGGGGGTGAAGGGTGGAGCAGAGGGAGAGGAGGAGGCAATGGGTGCATGGGTCGTAGAGCTCGTACATGGTGTTGAAGTCGGGGACTTCGGAGATGTCGACCAGATAAACCACTGCAAAGTTCTTTATGGTCTCTGCCACTCCTGCCAGCACCTCGTCCATCTGATGGGAAAGCGGGGGTGAAGGGTGGAGCAGAGGGAGAGGAGGAGGCAATGGGTGCATGGGTCGTAGAGCTCGTACATGGTGTTGAAGTCGGGGACTTCGGAGATGTCGACCAGATAAACCACTGCAAAGTTCTTTATGGTCTCTGCCACTCCTGCCAGCACCTCGTCCATCTGATGGGAAAGCGGGGGTGAAGGGTGGAGCAGAGGGAGAGGAGGAGGCAATGGGTGCATGGGTCGTAGAGCTCGTACATGGTGTTGAAGTCGGGGACTTCGGAGATGTCGACCAGATAAACCACTGCAAAGTTCTTTATGGTCTCTGCCACTCCTGCCAGCACCTCGTCCATCTGATGGGAAAGCGGGGGTGAAGGGTGGAGCAGAGGGAGAGGAGGAGGCAATGGGTGCATGGGTCGTAGAGCTCGTACATGGTGTTGAAGTCGGGGACTTCGGAGATGTCGACCAGATAAACCACTGCAAAGTTCTTTATGGTCTCTGCCACTCCTGCCAGCACCTCGTCCATCTGATGGGAAAGCGGGGGTGAAGGGTGGAGCAGAGGGAGAGGAGGAGGCAATGGGTGCATGGGTCGTAGAGCTCGTACATGGTGTTGAAGTCGGGGACTTCGGAGATGTCGACCAGATAAACCACTGCAAAGTTCTTTATGGTCTCTGCCACTCCTGCCAGCACCTCGTCCATCTGATGGGAAAGCGGGGGTGAAGGGTGGAGCAGAGGGAGAGGAGGAGGCAATGGGTGCATGGGTCGTAGAGCTCGTACATGGTGTTGAAGTCGGGGACTTCGGAGATGTCGACCAGATAAACCACTGCAAAGTTCTTTATGGTCTCTGCCACTCCTGCCAGCACCTCGTCCATCTGATGGGAAAGCGGGGGTGAAGGGTGGAGCAGAGGGAGAGGAGGAGGCAATGGGTGCATGGGTCGTAGAGCTCGTACATGGTGTTGAAGTCGGGGACTTCGGAGATGTCGACCAGATAAACCACTGCAAAGTTCTTTATGGTCTCTGCCACTCCTGCCAGCACCTCGTCCATCTGATGGGAAAGCGGGGGTGAAGGGTGGAGCAGAGGGAGAGGAGGAGGCAATGGGTGCATGGGTCGTAGAGCTCGTACATGGTGTTGAAGTCGGGGACTTCGGAGATGTCGACCAGATAAACCACTGCAAAGTTCTTTATGGTCTCTGCCACTCCTGCCAGCACCTCGTCCATCTGATGGGAAAGCGGGGGTGAAGGGTGGAGCAGAGGGAGAGGAGGAGGCAATGGGTGCATGGGTCGTAGAGCTCGTACATGGTGTTGAAGTCGGGGACTTCGGAGATGTCGACCAGATAAACCACTGCAAAGTTCTTTATGGTCTCTGCCACTCCTGCCAGCACCTCGTCCATCTGATGGGAAAGCGGGGGTGAAGGGTGGAGCAGAGGGAGAGGAGGAGGCAATGGGTGCATGGGTCGTAGAGCTCGTACATGGTGTTGAAGTCGGGGACTTCGGAGATGTCGACCAGATAAACCACTGCAAAGTTCTTTATGGTCTCTGCCACTCCTGCCAGCACCTCGTCCATCTGATGGGAAAGGGGGGGTGAAGGGTGGAGCAGAGGGAGAGGAGGAGGCAATGGGTGCATGGGTCGTAGAGCTCGTACATGGTGTTGAAGTCGGGGACTTCGGAGATGTCGACCAGATAAACCACTGCAAAGTTCTTGATGGTCTCTGCCACTCCTGCCAGCACCTCGTCCATCTGATGGGAAAGGGGGGGTGAAGGGTGGAGCAGAGGGAGAGGAGGAGGCAATGGGTGCATGGGTCGTAGAGCTCGTACATGGTGTTGAAATCGGGTACTTCGGAAATATCCACCAGGTATACCACTGCCAAGTTCTTTATGGTCTCTGCCACTCCTGCCAACACTTCATCCATCTGAGGAGCATCAGAGGGGAACCGGGGGGAGAAAGCCAAGGGGGGGAGGATGGGGAGCAAGGGAGGGGAGAGATGATGGCACAGGGGTGATAGAGCTCGTTCGTACATGGAGTTGGATTCAGGCACCTCTGAAATATCAGCCAGATAGATCAGTGCAAAGTTATTGATAGTTAATGTCACTCCTGCCAACACTTCGGCCATCTGATGAGCGGCGCAGGGAAGGGCAAGAGAAGGAAGGATGCGAAGGAAGGAAGGGAAGGGAAGGATGGGGAGCAGAGGGAGGGGTGAACATGGCAGTGCAGAGAACAGGTGATAGAGCTTTTACATGGTGTTAGAATCCAGCACCTCTTATGGGAAAACGGCGGAGAGAAAAAAAGGGGAGAAATGGGGGAAGGACGAGCGAGGTGGAGAGAGGGGAGGTTGAACGGCGTGAGGACGGAGGGGGATGAATGAGGGGGAGGAAAATGGGAGCGAGCGGAGAAATGAAGGTGAAAGGGAGGGGGGGTTTTGAAGGATATGGGAAAAGGAGGGACATGGACGGTGGACGGTGGGAGGAGAAATGGGAAGACAGGGATGGTGAGCACCTGGAGAATTTTCCCCACCTCTGGTCTCCCACATGATACTTGCTGCACGCTCTGCCCCCATCCCATATGCTCTTTCCGCCCCTCTACACACGCCGTCCCAACTGCATGTACACGCCATCGCACTTGCATGCTCACGTCACTCACCTGCATGCACACGTCATACCACCTGCATGCACACGTCATCGCACCTGCATGCACACGTCATCGCACCTGCATGCACACGTCATCCCAGTCGTGGCCGAAGCGGATGACGACGACGCGGTCCTCCTCCGACAGAATCGCCTGATCCACGGCCCACCCGCTGTGCAGATGCGGCAGCAGGTACGACATCGGGTCGCCCCCCCGCGACGAAAGCCTCGATTGGCGACGGAAGGCGACGACTAGCGACGGAACGCGACGACTTGCGACGACTGGCGACGCCTGCTGCTGGTTTGCGATACGCAAATACACGTACGACAGCTGCGGAGCGAGTGCAGGACAGACAGATTCTCACTCCTAGGCGTCGAATGTCTACACGTGGCACACGTTCACTGCTTCACTGCTGGTCAAACCAAGATCGCGCCGCGTTCCAATCCGCGCCCTACCGCAGGTCAACTCACACGCGGCGATGGGTGGACAAGGGACGAGGGCGGGTGCGGACGCAAGACGACACGGAGTGCGGAACCTCTGTAGAGAACGCGGATTCGCAGGAACAGCAGGCGAGAAAATCACTAGAGTGGTGTCTGGTTGAGTGTATGGATCCCGCCGCTTCGATCTTCGAACTTGATCAAGGAGGGGGTGACGTGTGAAGGATCTGAACGGCTCGTGAATGCGGACCACAGGAAACAAGGTCCGAGGAATCTAGGAGCTTCTAAATTTTCGCGATGAAACCCGACAACTTGAAAAGAACCTTTACACCGTGGTTCCCTTCACTATCAGTTCCAGTAATCTGAAAAATACATGGCTGGTCCGAGTCTTGTTCAAGACCTGGTCCGAGGCTGGTTCGGGACGGACCAACCAGCGCAAATGTGACACTTCCTGAACACTTTGCCACTGATCGCGGAAGGACCTTTTCATTGGGCGAATCAATCCCTATGGGATCAGTTCGGGGTATGAAAAGCTACTGCTGCTTCGTAAACTGCAGGGTTACTCGTTTCGGCTATTGTCGATTGTGCTGCATATCGTGTCAGAGTACACTTCGCATCCTCGTCAGGTCTGGTCGAGTGAGGTCAGGTCTAATATAGCAGATTGCAATGCGGTGATGTCGGAATTTATGTTCAGCGATTCCGACCTTGCTTGTGAAGCCCAGGGTCGCAATACTTGGTTTTTTTTTTTTTTTTTTTTTTTTTTTGATGCAAAATACACTAAAAAAAGTGCAAAATACATCGGCAGTCGTAACTGTAGCTGATGGGCCTAGGGGGATATCACCCTCCGTACCCATCCTGAGCCTCTAAGGGGGACGGAAAGCAGCCCTCGGGTTCGACCAGATGGCCATGAACCCTTTAGACCACGTGGCCGGTTGTGCTGTGTTGTCGAGGATGTGACTCAAGACCCGGCACTCGTCATCATCTAGTCCAGGACGAGTGGCACCGAGCCTCTTGGATGCCGCCTTGGCACGCTTGTAAATTCTGACGTGCAGCTGGAAAGACGCCGCGATCCTCCGCAGTGCCCTTCTGGCTCGGAACATGCCCCGTTCAAAGACCGCATCACACCTCTCCACCCAGATTCGGTGAAGAGCGATCGCTGTAAGCGAAGCCTCGGGAAAGCCCGAAGCTGTCCCCTCCTTCTTGAAAACCAGGTCCCCCAGCGTTTCGATCTTCCGATGCGGATTCAGCATGCGGAGCGCCTTCAGTAATGCCCGAACCACCGGTTGGATACGCGGGCAGAGAAACAGCCCGTGCTCCAGCGTCTCCCTCTCCCCGCAATGCGGACATGCAACACCAGTACCCAGGAAATGCAACCGCTCCCCCACCTGCAGGTTCCGGCTGTGGATCCGGAGCATCACGTCCCTCGCCCGGTTCGGAAGGGCCGTTGAGTCCCTTACGTCGATCACCCTCTCCCAGTCAATCTGACGGCCGAGGGTCTCCTCCCACGTGGCTTGCTGCTTCGGCTTCCCGCCCCACCGCTTGAAACCCTCCTTCGACTGTTTCAGCTGTTTCAACGGTCCCCATCCCAGATGGGCGAGCACAGCAATCTTGCTTTAGGGGCGCCAGCAGGACCAAGAAAACGGCCCTCCCTGACCACCGCAGGTATCACCTCGCGCGGCTGGAAACTGCGCAGCTTCTCCTCCGCATCTCCCAGCGCCCCCCGAAAACAGCTGATAGCCCGGCAGACTAGGGTTTCCCCCTCCACACATTCAATCCTCCAGACCCCGTGGCTCGTCCCTGCCTTCAGCACGAACTTAGAGGCAGCTAGCACCGTATGCGCCGTGACAGGCGCCAGCAGCAACTGTTTCCACTCATCCGGGGCAGCGTCAAAAACCCTCTTCGCCAGCTTCGCCCCTGCTGAACCCCCGAACTCCCGCTCGAGCTCCTGGGTGCCCTTAAGAGCCCTCGAACCGTCCTCGGCGACATTAATTAAGTCCTTCATGACAGACCGCTTCAGACCTTTAGCCGCCTTCTGCCGTCCCGCAGGTGTCTTCCCGTTTAGAAGCAGCCTCCGATTGAAGAGCAGCAGCTCCTGTTCCATATCCCAAACCGACGACACGCTGATGCACGAGGGGAAGCTAGACTCCAGGAACAGCTCGCAGGTCCGCTTCCACCTCATACACCTCCCTTCCCACTGCTTTATCAACCCCGTGTGCGCCCAGAAAACCTGAAGATCAGGGACATCCAGTGCTGCTAGCGCAAGATCGGCGCGCAGCCCCAGCGGCTGTGACGCCAGCAATGCGATCCTCCTGGCTGCCAGGCCCTCCAGCTCAGCACACGGGTCCCGGACACCAAGACCACCTTCTCCTCTCCCCTTGAACAGCAGCTCCTGACTCCAGAGCGCAAACTGTTTCCCCGCCGTCGAGTGGTTACCGGTGACGAAATTGTGAAGCAGCTTCACCAGCTTCGCCCAGATCTCTGTTGGAGGGGGATAGACCTGCGCCTGGAAAGCGAGGATCGGGTTGATGTACCCGTTGACCACTGCGACCCTGCCAGACGTAGTCAGGTAATGAACCTGCCACTTCACCAGCTCCGATGTCCTTAGTGGCAAAAGACGCGTCCTGCGTCTAAGACGAGTGCGTCCAGACGCAGCGTCTTAGACGCAGGACGCATGATGTGGGCCTTTGAGACGCAGCAAAAGACGCAGGCCCGGGCAGGGCAAAAAAAACCCCGGGGCAGCCAAAAAAACACGTTATAGGGCATGGGAAGGGGGGGGAGGACGACGTATCACACATGTGAGGCGAAAATATAGCTATGGAGCGAAAGGTAGCACTATGGAGCGAAAGGTAGCTAAACCCTCAAGGGTTTACGAAGGAGAATTGTGTGTGGGCTGTTTTTTATGGTCGAAATGGGTCCGGGGGGTCGAAATTTCGCGACATTGACATTCGCGTCGAAATCGCGAATGCCAACTTCGCGATCGGGAAAAAAAAAAAAAAAATCCGGTCAGCCCGAAAAAAATTCTGCCGTGCGTCCTGCGTCTGGACGCGCGTCCAGCGTCCCTGCGTCCGGACGCTGCGTCCAGACGCAGGACGCATGACACGCCCAGCGTCTTTTGCCACTTAGCCGATGTCGCCCTCACCAGGGTGATTTCCCAGGTTACCGATGCGTCTCCTGAGGGTGAGACCCACACCCCCAGGACCCTTTCCGCTTCGCTCGACAGCACCCATTTGAAAGCTGATTTCTTGTCTGGCTTCTTACGCAGGTTCCTCCCCAAGGGCATCAGCGCGGACTTGTCATTGTTAACCCGGAGCCCCGATTGATCTCCAAACTCATTCAGCAGCTTCACCGCTCGTCCAACCTGCCTTTTCCCCTTGAGCACCAGCGTGGTGTCGTCAGCGTACCCCAGGTACGCGAGTCGTTCGCCGTACGGGTTGCTGATCCCAAGTTTCCTTCTTTTTGCTTCCTGGCAGAGAGGCTCAACCGCGCAGAGGAAAAGATACGGCGCCAGAGGACAGCCCTGCCGCACCCCCTTCCTGACCGCTACCGACTCCCCCAACCATCCGTTGAGCAACAGCCTCGTCGTTGAACCCGCGTGAAGGCCTTCGCACCACTGCACAAACCGCCGCGGGAAGCCCATTCTCTCCATTGTGCCGAACAGGTACTCGCGCGAGACTGAATCAAAAGCCTTTTGAAAGTCCACCAGAAGTAAATACCTGTCTTCATCTTTGCACTTCGCCGCCTCCACTATGTCTGCGATCAACGAGACTCCGTCCGACAGCCTCCTCCCAGGTAAGAACCCATATTGCTCCTCTGAAACAACCGCATGTAGCACCTTCCGCATTCTATTTGCCAGCACCCGCGCCACTAACTTGTATGTGCTGTTGAGCAACGTGATCGGCCGGTAGTTCTGCACCTGGTCTTTCGCGCCTTTTTTGTGTAACAGGACCGTGACCGCCTCCAGAGCGGCGGGGGGGAGGACAGCAGATTCCTCGAACTGCTTCACGAAACCAAGCACGTCTCCTCCCAGCAAGTCCCAGTGCTCACAGAAAAACTCCTTCGGAATCCCGTCAGCCCCAGGAGATTTGCCTTTCGCCATGCCGTCCAGAGCCTCCCTCACTTCCGCTTCAGACCATTCTGCTGACAACAGCTGGACCTGCGCCTCACCCAACCTTTTGTCAGGAGCAATCTGCCAACGTGGACCACCCGCCGAGGTGGGTTCCGAAAACAGCTCCGCATAAAACTCGGATGCGGCGTCGAGTATCCCCCTAGAGTCCTTCCGCACCGTACCCTTCCACTGAAGCGCTGTGATCATTGTTCTCTCCTTCCGTGTCTTGACTTTTGCAGACATGAGCTTGCCAGGCATCTCTCCCTCGCGCAGCTCCTTGGCACCCATCATGAGCGTGAGCCTCTCCTGCTCAGAGGCGAGGTATGCCGCCAGATGAGATTCCTTGGCTCTCAGCTCCTCCCTCCGGGCCGAGCAGTAGGGATTCCGCATCACTTCCTGCTGCAGAACCGCCACCGCCACATCCAGGTGACGCAGAGTAGCATTAACCCGCTTCCGCTCTTCCGTAGAGTACTTCCGCAACGCCATATTCACTTTCCTCATGAGCGCGGTAAAATCCCCCGTCCCCGTTTTCCCGTGCTCCTCTCGGACTGCGGCAACCGCTTTTGCCGCTCCCGGCTTGCTGACCTCTGCTGCCTTACACCTCCATATGCCAGGCCCCATACATAATTGCAGGCTGACTTTGAAGGTCACCTTAACCCCGAACCAGTGATCCGAGAGGCCTTTCAGCGGACGACAATGCGACGCATCTGTGAGCAACGGCATCAGCGGCGCTGAGACGAGAGCCCGATCAATACGTGAGCTGGTCTTGGCAGACCTGGATAGAAAAGTGAACTCCTTCAGCACCGGATTCATCCAGCGAAAAGCATCGGCAAGGCAGTGTGCAGAGCAAATCTGCATAACGCTGCTATTCTCGCCCGATGAACCCGCTCCGGACGACCTGTCCAGCAGAGGGTCCTCCACCATGTTAAGATCCCCTATCAGAATGAATTTTTTCTTCCCCGCAGAATTCGCCATGAAAGGAGCAAGCACGCCAGCATAAAACGGTCGCCGCCTGCAGGCCTTCGCCGGGAAATAAGCGGCCAATATCGTGCAGCAGAAGGAGTCCCACTGGACATCAGCCTGAAGCAGCCGGCCCGAATTGTGCGCGACAATATTAGTGAAAACGAGAGACTTGTTAAAGCTTAAGATGGCTACCCCCCCTGCCTTCCCCGCAGGACCAATGGCGTGACAGTGTGGAACTTTGAGCCTCTTCCAGAGGTCGTGATCTGCACCAATGTGTGTGTCAGCTAAGACGAAAATGTCAGGTGGCTTCTTTAACCATGCCTTCAGATGTTTCTGTTTCCCTCTGCTCCCGAGCCCGTTGACGTTGAGCTCGCGTATTGTCAGGTAAGAGGCTCTATTCATTGGGAAACCGCCGAGAAGCCCCAAGCATCCACGGGCTGAGTGAGACACAGGCAACAGGCTCATATAAGGCAAATACAGACTCGAGTGACCCTAACGTGCAGACACATCCCCTCCTTATCCCTTCTACACCCCATAGTCCTTCTTCAGGTGCTTGAGGTTGATCTTCCCCTTCAGCAACCGGAGCGACTCCCCCCCCTTCGGGGCCCCATGGCGGTGCCGCTGGGACAGCGCATGATGTGCAGCCTGCTTGAACGACGAACCATGAGCTTTCTCGCAGCTGTCCTGAAGACAAACCCACTCCTCCCGATTGCCGCTGGTGGAAATCAGCACCAGGGACGGGTCCTTGAGAATGATCTTGGTCGTATCTGATGCAGTGGTCGCAGCAGCTGCGGAGCAACGATGTGAGTACTCGGGAAAAGACGTAAGCTGAAAACGACAGCGAAAAGAAAGGAACTCCAGCAGCGACAGCGCAAACAGCACAGCTACCATTCAGCTCATGGACCCTCCCAACGGTAAGGTGCCATTTGGTGATGTTGTTCTGTCGTTCGACGACGAAGTCATTGTGGTTGTGGATCGAGTGATGACCTCCGCACAGGCTGCACTTCAAAGCCGGGTAATGAATCAGCAGAATCTCGTCCTTGTTGAGCAGATTTTCAATGTAGTGCTTCCACCGGTACAAATCTCCCTCGTGAGCAACCACCAGTCCCTTGACCCGATCCGTGTCCAGGCCGGTTACCGAGTTGACCGCACGATGGAAACACAAACCCTCCTTAAACACCGACTTCTTTTTCTTCTTGAGCGGAGCCATCAGCATCCCGTGCAGCATCACAGGTGAAATCTCGGCAGGGACCTCCTTGAAGTATAACTCAATCACCGCCGGGTTCGTCGCCTTCTGCCTGGCGAAAGCGGGATCTTCCGGGTATTGCCAGTCAAAAATAACGTAAGTACCATTCTTGCACTTATGCTCAACCTGATTACGCCACACAAAGTTAGCATCAGATGCCTTATCAAAAGTAGCTTGCATGCGACCATAATACTTCTTGTACAGGAAACCAGACGTCAGCTGCTGATATGTCGTGGTGACCTGTGCCTCATCTGACAGCTCATCCTTCCAAATTCCCACCAATCCCTTAATCGTTGCCTGTGTGCGAGGAACTTCCGGCAGAAACTCTTCAGGGATCAGCAGCGTGATCGGATAACGGGAGCGTGACGCGATCTCTCCTTTTGACGCTTCCTCGACCTCCTCGTCAGAGTCATAAGCAATAAGCCCATCATCCTCATCGTTGAGCAGGTGAGAACCCCCCGATGGACCCGAGCCATCATCAGCAGCATCATGCGCGTCGTCACCGTCGTCCCCATGAGTCACATCTTCGCCTTCTGGAGCGTCAGTAACAGCATCTTTGAAAATGACTTTCTCCTTACCCTTCTTGCATTCATTCGCAGCTTCCTCAATGCGAATAGCTGCGAGCTTCGCCGAGAGAGTCAGAGCGTCAGAATCGTCAGGCTGAAAAGGGCCTTTGGACCCCTTCATGGCGGTAGCAGACTTAAGCGGAAGCCTTGACATGGACTTCGGCTTAACTGGTGTCGTCGCCGGTGGAGCAGTAGAAGAAGCAGAGGCCAGCGGAACACCAGCAGTGGTTGTAGCAGCAGCAGCCGCAGCAGCTGCGGTAGCCGCAGTGACATCAGCAGCAGCAGCCTTCTTAACACGAGGAGCCATCGTGCAATGATGATAAAACAGCCACCAAAGCCAGTGCTGTACTGGAGAAATGTAAAAACTGAGCACGAACTTGTCGTCCTTTGTAGGAGAAGCAATGCCTGCATGCTGATGCCCGATAGAAGCCTGGATAATAGTATGAAGCCTTGGAAGTGCCACACTGGAAACACCTCGCACGGAAATCCCGAAACCATGACTTATGCTCGTCTTCAGGGTGTAGGGACGAATGTTCTCTGTTTGAACATTTAAAAAATTTCCACAGGTACCCTGAGAGTAGTCGCAATACTTGGTGGTGTATACCAGTGCACGCGATCGACTTCCGAATCTGGGTAGGTTCAGTAAGCTTCGGCGGACCTTTGCCAAACCTCCTGATGGAACGCGTCCTTACTACCCGTCGATATGCAAGAAACAAGTTCTTCATCTTGATGCTGGGTCCGACAGCGTTGCTGCCTTGTTACCACCGCAATGACGGCTTCATACGCCAACTTGCTACTGGCCCTCGCCGTGATCCTCGCTTGTAACGGTTACCATGCCTTGGCTGAAGACCCCATTGATTGTAAGGCTCCTATTTTACCCAAAATTTTGTGCATTCCGAGTTTCCAGTTCAAGTCATGTGTCGGTGCCTGCTGTCGTCATTTCCGGTGCCTCGGGCCTGTATATGATACGGCGTCGTCGACAAAAGACCTATGTAGAAACGCCGTTGCATAGTACTGTTAACGCGTACAATTTGGGACAACAAGGTAACCGTCCCTCGCTGCGTAAGACCTGGTACCTAAGGGGTACTGTGTGAGAACGCATGGCAAGGGTGAGGCGTAAAGTGTGAGGGAGTGACGTATAGCAGTGCGAGTGAGCGAGTGACGCGTGGCAGTGTGAGCGAGGGGATGATGTATGACATGCCAGTGTAACCAGGTTACCCTACCACAATTAGCTGGAGCGAAGGCATGTGCTTGCAGATCAAGTAACCGGGGTGAACCCCTTTTAGGGCTCGTTGTTTTTCCTTCCTTTCGCCTTCCAAATTCATATCCTTTCTGGTCTCTGAAGATCAGGTGATCAGCGGCTGTGCAGCAGACTGGGGTTGAAACAACCTCCATTCAAGTTGTAAGCCGACTCAGAATTCCTACCCTTGCAAATTCATATCGTTCCGAATTCATGTCCTTCCGGATTCATATCCTTTTCTACCTTTCCGGTCTTTGAAGATCAGGTGATGAGCGACTGTGCAGCAGCCTGGGGTCGGAATGACCTTCCTTCGTTGGCCTGCTACTCGGAACTTACCAAATGCGACCCCGTGTCTCAAAACACAATATCCTTGTGAGTGAGACACAGCTACGAAAGCGGCCATGTGCAGTGGGAAATGTTTGTTCCTATGCTGTGCTCTGTCATAATGGTGGGATAAGGTTGGTTCTGAGAAGTCTCAAAACCAACCTCGTATCACGTGGTGGGATGCCCCTCTTGTGACGCGCTTCGCTCCGCGCATGATTTGGCGAACGTCTTTCTGCAATTTCATGTGTTAAATGTGCTCTAGAGACCTATGTCTGGCTGAAACGCCCAAAGCACTATTTTCTTGAAGCATCAGTTGTGGGGTCCAAAAGCCACCTCTTAAAGCCCAACCGCCAGGTACCGAACTCAGCCCCCACTCCCTCTCTCGCTTGCTGGTGTGCTGGAATTTCTCCAGCATGGTGCTAGCAGGGGTTATCCCACCTTCCATTGGCCTTCTCACTGTTCTCACCTACCTGTACGTCTCTTCCTTTCCTTTTCAGCACACGCACCCAGCCACACTCACCCTCCTAACCATTCGTCCTTTTCTCAGTTATAACAAAAACGAGCGTCCGTTTGACTGTGAGCCTGTCCTCTGTCTACTCATGTGCGAGTTTTGCCATTACCCGGGCCATCTTCTGTACCGTAGTTGCCATGCCATGCACCTGTTTCCTTTCCTGCCGTTTCTGCTCCTATGGACGATCGTCCAACCTCCCTCGTGTGCTAGGCTCTTTTGGCCTATGTCCGGCCATGGTTGGTCTTGTGATGACCCCTCATCGACGACTCTCGAAGCACCAATGTGACTTGTGTGTGTTTGTGCCGTATGTGTGCCTGTGTGTGTGTGTGCACGCGCGCGTGCGTGCCTGTGCCACTGCTGCGTGTGGTGCATTTGATGCAACACAAGTGGTTTGATTGGATGCTGAATACCGTGAGTGAATGGGTATGGAATGGCATGAATGGATAGTATTGCTGTATGGATGGAATGTCATGAATGAATGGATGGAATGGCATGCATGAATGGAATGGGGTTCATGTGTGACATGGGATGCATGGATGACATGGGATGCATGGATGACATGGGATGCATGGTTGACATGGTATGCACACATGCAGCAACCTGTCCAACAATGGGTTCCTTCGAGGCTCCCTTCCCAGCACATTCCGCCATCTGTCTCAGCTGAAAGTTCTGTGAGTCTCAGTACAAGATGTATGTGACTCAGTGATAAGGATCCTTTGCGTCTGTAAACTCAATAGTCATCTATTAAGTCGACTCTGAAGGGACCTGCACATGCAGAAACATAGCTATGGACATGTTTCGAGGCGCCTCAAAGGTCGCCTCAGAGGTTTCGAGGCGTTTCAAATCCGGCCTGCACATGTGGAAGCATAGCTATGGACACGTTGAGTGCTGTCACACCCGCGAGCTCATCTCCATCTTTCGTTCTCCTTCTCACTTTTTTGTCGTTTATACGGTCTCGTTTCATCATTTCCATGGAACAATGCACGCACCTCCTGCCTGCCTCCTGATCTGTCCAACCTCTGCCACTCCAAAGTGCGACCTCTCCTCACACCCCTTCAGGAGTTGCTTGTGAGAATTCTCAAAAGCAAATTCCTAAAAGCAATGTATGTCCTCTCCTCACTCCCCTTCTGGCTCCTCTATTCAGTGTTCTGTCCAAGAATCAATTCAACGGGTCGCTAGATGTGTTGACAGCAATGACCAGCTTGCAGCATGTGTAAGGGCCATTGATCAGTAAGTGTGTGTGTGCCGCGTGCTCATGTCCCATCTTAAACCAAGAACACCATATCCAGTCATGGTAGTTTCGTACCAGGATCCATTTTTATGCCCAAACTACTTCAATTCCCCCACAGGCCATGCTGCTGCTCATGCTTTCGTGCGTTCTTCCATTTGCATTCATTCATCATGCTGGCATCGAGAGTGTTCCTGTATCTACCCCTCACGAGTGTGTGTGCCCTCATTGCCACTGCTTGCCTGAACTGTTTGCCTGCAGAGCACTTGGGCTAAACAAGTGGGATTGGGATCTCCCTTCTACACTCTCAGCCCTCACTGCGCTTACTTATCTGTAATGCCATGCCCATGCCAGCTGTTGCCAGAATCTGGCATTTGTGTCATTATGTTATATGGTGCCAGCCAGCTGGCATATGTAGTTTTGACATCGGGGGTTGAGGCATCTCAAGGCCGCCATTTCTGTGATCCCATGCCTGTGACTTTGGTTGGGTCGGGTCCTGCCTGCACGAGAGGCTCTTGAGAGTATCTCTTTGTGTTTTGATGTTTTCTAGTGTTTGGACTCAGGAGTCCCCTTTTTATTTGCCGCTGGTTGTACAGAGAGCTGTCGCAGACGAGGTGACGTTTGAGTCGACCCTAAAGTCTTTTTGCCGCTGGGTGCACATACAGAGACCTGTCGGTAACGAGCATCGCCGGATCTGCATCAAACCTCTTGCATCTCAGCACAGTAAAACATTTGTGAGTGAGCCTATCAGCACTGCAACGCGCACGCATGCACACATGTCACTTCGTCTCACACATGGCGCAACGAGCATCACCAGATCTGCATCAAACCTCTTGCATCTCACCGGATTAAAGCTTCTGTAAGCGAGAGTATCAGTACGGCTCGGCAACGTGCACACATCCGTTTCAATTCAACAGGGAGCTTGCCACTGCATATTTGCCTCCCAGTGTTTTCCTCTCACATCCTCCCTCCCTTTCTGTTGACAGATGTTCATCTCATTCTCACCTTTGCGATTGTGCCACATCTGGTTTGGTGCATTTTGTGTGCTTGTAATCCAGGTAATCATTATGCAATCATTACGGGTGGTTCTGTCCAGTTCGAACCTGTCCGGTCGGGCTGGCTACCCCGTCGAATCAAACCCAGGCCGTTCCGTCACGTATACTGATCATCAACATGCCGCGCGCACTGCGTATGTGTTTGGGTTGAGGCTTCAAGAAACTGAGCCACTGTGCATTGTCTGGAAGCTTGCCACAACGCATCAGCGACCTCACCAGGCTTCAGTCCTTGTGCGTTCTCCTCGCGATCAATGCTTTCGGGTGCTCAACGATCGTGTCTCGGTTTACAAGAACTGAGTTGGTCATGGTGAGGCCAGTGATCCAGCAGGGGTCTCCACATTCTGCTTCGCGTACGTTTCCTGTAGGAGTAAATGACGACCCGAAACGAGTCCAGCCTACTCATGCAAATTTGGTCAACAGATGGGGTGTCTGAAACTGATGGGTTGTCTGAAACTGATGGGGTGTCTGAAACTGATGGGGTGTCTGAAACTGATGGGGTGTCTGAAACTGATGGGTTGTCTGAAACTGATGGGGTGTCTGAAACTGATGGGGTGTCTGAAACTGATGGGGTGTCTGAAACTGATGGGTTGTCTGAAACTGATGGGTTGTCTGAAACTGATGGGGTGTCTGAAACTGATGGGGTGTCTGAAACTGATGGGGTGTCTGAAACTGATGGGGTGTCTGAAACTGATGGGGTGTCTGAAACTGATGGGTTGTCTGAAACTGATGGGGTGTCTGAAACTGATGGGGTGTCTGAAACTGATGGGGTGTCTGAAACTGATGGGGTGTCTGAAGC